ATATTATAATAAAAACTCGCTATAAAAATAATCCGCGCGATTTTATTAAAAGTTATATTAATATTATAATCGTTTAAAAGAATTTAAAAGAATATAAATCTCGTAAATTAGATATTCTTAATTCTATTATTTAGAGACTAAAGTCTCTTACTCTTATCGCCTATAAAAATAAATTATAAATTTATATTAATTAATTTATAAGTTTATTATAAAGGTAGCGTTCTCGCTATAAGCAACTATCTTTAAGTAAAAATAAACTTCCTTTCTTTCATAGTAAGATTCTACTCTATAGAAGAAACCCCTCGCAAAAATAGCTTTTCTCGAAAGATATTTTACTGAGTAAGAAGTTATATACTACGACGGGTAATAGGGGTAGTAAAAGGATTCGATAGCGAAGTAGGCGGTAATATAGGCGAAGGGGAAGTCGTATTCTTAATGAAAATCGATGCTTTTATTATAGTTCAAATTGTAGAAGTAGGTCTTTTCTAGAAAGTATAATTCTTCTTATAAGGATAATCTTGTTTCCTAGTAGTAATAGCTTAATTCTCGATAGTATTAGCTTTAGAAGTTAATAGAGTAAGTGCTTTCTTCGTCGATATAGTAGAATTCTTCTTTTCTCGATAATTTCTTATAAAATCAATAGAAATTTAGGCGTCGCATTTAATTATAAGATTTTTTGCTCTTAAGAGGATATATAGTGGGTACTAAGTATTATGCTTTTTACTACTATTCTTTCAATATATTAAATACTTAATATTCTTTCTTATTTTTTATCTATTACTTAGTCTCTTAATTTCGAATAGTGGAAATCTAATAATAAGATCTAGATCTATTTATTCTTCTTCTTTCTTTACTAGCTATAGCGGATATAGTTTTTTATAATAAATTTTTTTAGCTTAATCTAATATAGACTTTAATTAAATTATAAATATTATAAAATAAATATATATAATACTTAAAAGATTTAGTCGATAAGTAAGATTTTCGATCTTTTTTAATATTTCAAATAATTCGACTCTCTAATTAGAAAGTTTAAAATTAATATTAAAAATAAGTTAGATATAATATAATCTTAAATAAATTAAAAAGCTCTCGCGAAGATTAATAGCTTTATAATTATTATTATAGCGAGTTTTTATTATAATATTAATAAAAATAAAAATATTATTAATTTCTTCTTATTTAATAAGATATAATTAATTAAGATTCTCTAATAATAAATCTATAAGTAGTCTTAGTATATCTTATATTTAAAATCTATTAAAATATAAGATAAAACACTTAATTATATTAACTAGAGAGTTTTATAAAAGAAAAGAGCGATAAGATATAAATATATTAAGATATATTATATAATTATTAAGACGCTAAAAATTATATAATTTAAATTCTAATACTCCCCTTTATATATATTCTTTTATACGCGAAATTTGATAAATACGAAATTTAACGCTAATAGTGTTAAAATTAAATAAATAAGATAAAAATAATTTAATCGATTTTCGCTAGAGTTTAGCGCTAGATAATTAAAGTAAGATTAATATTAAATAATTAAAGTAAAGTCTAAGTTAAATAATTAAAATAAATTTAATATTAAATAATTAAAGTAAAATTAAAGTTAGATAATTAAAGTAAATTTAATATTAAGTAATTAAAATAAAGTTCGAGTCGAGTAGTTAAAGTAAATTTAGCGTCGGGTAATTAAAGTAAAAAATCGAAATCTAAAAACGACTATATTAAATCCTAAATTCTACTTTTTATTAAAAAACGATTTTTCGAAAATTTTATTTTTAGGCTATCTAATATATATTAAAAATCGATTAATTTAAAATTAAAGGATATTCGTAAAAGTAACTAAATAAAATAATTAGAAGAAATTCTTTATTTTATATATTATAATTAATTATAAGACTTCTATAAGATCGTTTTAGATATCTAATTTTTAATAATAATAGTTAATAATAATAATAATATAAATAAGAGTATTTTAAAAGAGCTTTAAAGATTTAATAGCGATAACGATAATAGCGCTAAAGAAATAACTATTTTAATATAAAATAGCGAGTTTATAAAATATTAAATCTAAGGTTTAATAGATAATTTAAATAGATAATTTAAACTATAGAGATTAATAAAATAGCTTCTCTAGAGTTAGAATTAGCTTCTCTAAATAAATAATACTATAAATAATATTCTAATCTAATTAATATATAAAACTTTTTAAATTTATTCTTAGATAATACCTTAATAAATTTATTAGTTATCTATTATTTAATAAAAATATATTTAAAAATAACGATATTAGCGATAACTTATTTTTATATATAATAATATTAAATATTAATATACTTAATACGCGTATAAAATTAAAGATTTTTAATAAGAGTTATAATACTTTAATTATTATAATAAATAATAATAGTTTATATATATTTAGCGCTAGAATTAAGTTAATTAAAAAATTTATATAGCTAAACTATCTTTTTAATAGCTTATATTTAATTAATATATTTAATCTTATAAGAGAATAGCGCTATAATAAGCTATTATTTTAATAATTAATTAATAATAGTATTATTTATATTAAAGATATAATTAAAAATAGAATATTAAGTATTCTAATTATTTATCTAATCCGCGTTTATATAGCTAATAAATAATTTTAAATCTTCTCTAAATATTAATTACTAGTTTTTAATATTATTTAAATATTAAAAGATATACTTAATAATCTTTTAATAAAATTTATCGAAGTTTAAAATATATCTAAAAATTATCGAGATAGCGAATATAATATTAAATTAAATATTTAATATTATATATATAAATAATTTTATAACTAATTAATAAATATAGCGAGATTAATTAATAGAGATAAAATTATCTTTAATAATATAAAATTTATTATTATTAATAGAAGTAGATAATAGCGTAAAGCTTAATATATTATATTTCTTTAAAAATTTCTTAATATAATCTTTTTAATTAAAACGTAAAATTTAATTAATATAATTTTTAATAATTATTATATTAAGATAATAGATATAAGATTTTAAATTAATTATTTCGAATTTCTTATTAAACTTATTCTTAATATTCTATATTTTAATTTTATTAAGATCTATAAATAGAATATCGTCTATATAAATAGCGATAATAATAATATTATTAATAAATATAGAGAAATTAATAATAATAGATTTAAAATTTAATTTCTTTAAATAGATTATAAGAGTATTATATTAAACTCTAAAGAATTATTTTAAATCGTAAAATATCTTAATAAGCTTATATATCTTATTCTTTTAGTCTTTAATCTTAAAGTTAATAAATTAAATAATATAAATTATCTTCTTAATATCGCTATATAGAAAAATAATTTTAATATTTATTTATTTAAGCTTTTAATTTAAGATAATTACTAGCGTAAAGATCGCTTTATAATTTATAAACTTAATAATAAAAACGAAGATTTTATTAAAATCGATTTCTTCTTATTATTTAAAGTCGCGAATAATTTAATAAGCTTTATATCGTATAATTTTCTTTATAAAACTACGCTTAAACTTATAAATCTATTAATTTTCTAAAATATATATATTTAATAAGAGATTTATTAGAGTTTAAGTTTTATTAATAATAAATAAATTAACTTCTTTCTCTATAATAATTTTCTAATATATCTTATAATAAGAGTTTAATATAGTCTTTTTATAGATTTAAGATTTATAAAATTTAAAAAAAAAGCTTTTATTAATAGCGCTAGAGAATTTAAAAAGAATTTTTTATATACTCTTAAGATATTAAATAAACGATTTATCGCTAAAATTAAGTTATAATTATTTATAAAGCGAGTAATAAATCTAGAAAACGCCGTTATAAAAATTATAAAGAGAGTTTTATTATTAAATAATTACTCTTTTAAAAGACTTTAAGTTAATTAAGATTATTAATTAAATTTTTTTAAAAATTTAAATAGAATTAAGTAAGTTATTAACTTTATCTTTATTAAAAATTATTTATCTCTTTTAGCGATTTTCTCTTAAAATTATAAATAAAGAGGAAAGATAATTCTTAAAATAATTAATAATTTTAATAAACCGGCGATTATTACGATAAGCTATTATTTTAATATTATTATACAAGTAAAGGCCTATGAATTAAATTCATAAAGTTGGATTTTTCTAAGTCAAATCGAATTTTAGCCCTAGCCCTAAGTCAAATCGAACTCTGATCGCTTGCTATGCGTTTTTGACCTACATATAGATACATATGTGCGGAGAGAGGCGCGCTAAGGCCTAATTAGGAAGGTGTATTAAGTGTAGAGGATTGATCCGTAATAATTGCCCACAAAAAACAGAGAAAGGCTATGTTCTTATGGCAAGAAGTATCGAAATATCGGAAAGAAATGGAGACAACGTGCTAATTAGTGGTGTGAATCCCACAATATCTCCTGCCGTAGTGAAATTTTTCGAATAGTGAAATAGCTATAAATATCGGACGGTTTCAATTCGTTCAAATATACATCGTTCGATGTTCCTCCTGTAGAGGCCTAATTGGCTGTGATCATCGCAGTAGATCCTCCTCTTATAACGTTATTGTAGTAATATACTATATTAATGCAGTAGAGATAATAGGCTAAGTTGCAGTGGTGTTCTCCGCTTGCTGAGTGATGATTTGATGTGGAACCGTGCAGAGCATATAACGTGGGATCTTGGAGAGCTGAGCCGTGTTCTTGACGATGGTGGCCTTGTTGCCGCTTGGTTTCTCCGCAGTGTTCTCCGCATTCGCCTGCTATATTGACTTCTCTTACACTGGCTGAGTGGATTGATGTGAGATCGTGGAGAGTAGGTCTGTTGTGTCACTGCTGCTGATGACTGTCTCCGCAGTGTTCTCCATAGTGTTCTCCGTAGTATTCTCCGCATTTGCCTGTTGTAGTTCCTCCTCTTACTCCTTAATGCAGTGGGGATGACAGACTAAGTTGCAGTGGTGTTCTCCGCTTACTGAGTGATGATTTGATGTGGAACCGTGGAGAGCATATGACGTGGGATCTTGGAGAGCTGAGCCGTGTTCTTGGTGCTGGGGGCCTTGTTACCGCTTGGTTTCTCCGCAGTGTTCTCCGCATTTGCCTGTTGTAGTTCCTCCTCTTGCTCCTCCTCTTGTAGAGTATCAGACTGAGTGGCTAGCTGGTGGCTGCCTGAGTGGATGACTGATATGACGTGGGATCTTGGAGAGCTGAGCCGTGTTCTTGACGATGGTGGCCTTGTTGCCGCTTGGTTTCTCCGCAGTGTTCTCCGCAGTGTTCTCCGCATTTGCCTGTTGTAGTTCCTCCTCTTACTCCTTAATGCAGTGGGGATGACAGACTAAGTTGCAGTGGTGTTCTCCGCTTACTGAGTGATGATTTGATGTGGAACCGTGGAGAGCATATGACGTGGGATCTTGGAGAGCTGAGCCGTGTTCTTGGTGCTGGGGGCCTTGTTACCGCTTGGTTTCTCCGCAGTGTTCTCCGCATTTGCCTGTTGTAGTTCCTCCTCTTGCTCCTCCTCTTGTAGAGTATCAGACTGAGTGGCTAGCTGAGTGGCTGACTGAGTGGATGACTGATATGACGTGGGATCTTGGAGAGCTGAGCCGTGTTCTTGGTGCTGGGGGCCTTGTTGCCGCTTGGTTTCTCCGCAGTGTTCTCCGCAGTGTTCTCCGCATTTGCCTGTTGTAGTTCCTCCTCTTGCTCCTTAATGCAGTGGGGATGACAGACTAAGTTGCAGTGGTGTTCTCCGCTTACTGAGTGATGATTTGATGTGGAATCGTGGAGAGCATATGACGTGGGATCTTGGAGAGCTGAGCCGTGTTCTTGGTGCTGGGGGCCTTGTTGCCGCTTGGTTTCTCCGCAGTGTTCTCCGCATTTGCCTGTTGTAGTTCCTCCTCTTGCTCCTCCTCTTGTAGAGTATTAGACTGAGTGGCTAGCTGAGTGGCTGACTGAGTGGATAACTGAGTGACTGGCTGATGATCTAATTGAGTGGATTACTGAGCTGATTGGGTAGGTAGTGTTGACTGAGCGGCTGGTCGAGTAGTATGTAGGGGAGGACGATGGCTGTGAATCCGTTCGGGCTCTTTTTGAGGGCTTTCTAACGCGTCTATGAGCAGTAGTAGGTAGCTATTAGGCTCGCTTGCCGCCTCGATTGCCAGCAGTAGCGGATTCGCCGAGGGGTGGCCTGGGGGCGTCAGTAAGGGCTCTAAGAGGCGGGCAAAAGGGGTGTACGTGCCTGAAGCGTTTAGTAACGTTTTCGCGAGGGGTATCGAGGACGATTGTGTTCATATTGATGGAATTAATAGAATTGGTAGAATGGTGGAAGAAGAATGGTTACACAAACAAACAAACAAACAGGTGGAAGGATTATTATCCGATCCCGGACGCGTTTGATGTAACTACCATATTTGAATGTCCTTTTAATCCACCAATAGTAGGCCAAACTTCATTATTTTTACAGCGTTAGAAAGCGCACACTGAGCTCTACAATTTACGAAATTATAAAGAAATAATATCCGTAGGAAGCTGGTTATTTCAGAGTGTAAAACTTCTACACACAGATTTTTGATGAGGGAGCTCGGGAGGGCTAGCGGGCTGACTCAGTCAGTCTAGCCAAAAGGCGTAATAACCCCGAATTTATGATTGGCTGCACATACAAATTCAAGGTTTTCTAGTTCAGCCCTACCTTATTCTGTTATATATACTGATATATCCTCCTCTAAAATAAAAAGTATAAACTTAAAAAAGACGTTATCGAACTACTTAATATTTAAAATAATAGTAATCTCACCGCTATTTAAAAGTATATAATAGAAATAATCTTAATAATTTATAAATTTTTTATTATCTAACTTTTTTAATTAATAACTCTAAATAAACAAAAAAATTTATTTATCTAATAATATATAAATAAGAAATATTAAGAGAGAAATTAATATAAATCTTAAAAGGAGTTATATCTCGCTTAATTATAGATTAATAATTATATAAATAATTTCTAATATAAATAAACTCGATCTAGTACTTCTATAATAAGTCGCTCTTTTTAAATATTACGCTAATTTTATATTAAATAATAATACTTAATTATTTAGACTTCTTATTTATTTAAAATTTCTTTAATATAAATTTTTTCTAGATAATTCTTTTAAATAGATAAAAGATTTTTATTTTATAATTCTAATATTTTATATCGTAATTAGAGCGAAGGCGAGTATAACGATAATTATTATATTTTATATTATTAAGAAAAAACTTAAATATAATAAAAATAAATTTATTAGATTTATTTAATAAAAGATAAATATTAAAGTATAAAATAAAATTATTTAAAAAGATAATTATAAATATATAGTCGTTATAAAAAGTATTAAACGATTTTTAAAGATTAATATAAATTAAATTATTCTTCTATCTCTCGAGGATAATATAGCGTTTATAAAGCTTTATTTTAAAATTAACTACGAAATATAACTTATAAATATTATCGAAAAAAGATTTAAAAAGATTTATTTTAATATATATTTTAGTTATCTTCTTAATATTCTAAATATCTAAATAATCTATATAGATATATTATATATATAAAATCTTTTTATAAATTTAAGACTCTTATTAATTAGAGAACTTTATAAATTCGATAAAAGATTTATTATAAATAAAAATTTCTCTATTAATAACGATTAAGATTAAAAAGATATCTTTTTAAATATTAAGCGTATAAAAATAATTTTAAATATATTTAAAGAAAAACTACTATTTTTTTATAAAAAGATTATTAAGAATAAAAGAAAGCGAGTATTATTACTTCTTTAATTATCTCTTAAAAATAAGATTAAAGTTATATTTAGATATATATTAGATATTATTAAAGATTTAAATATACTTAATACTCTTTATTTTATATTTAAAATTAATATTATTAAAGTCGAAAGTTATATAACTATTATTAATAAGTTTATTAATAAAGCGAGATTTTTAAAATCTAGAAAAAATCTTAAAAATTAAGAAATTATAAATAATATATTAAGTATATATATAATTACGAAGTTAGAGAGAAGATATTATTATTATAATAAAAAGTGTAATAATAAAAACTCTATTTAAGAATTTAATTTTAAAAGATTTATAAATTTTATTATTTAAGATTTAAGAATTAATAATAAATATAATAGCGATATAAGTAATAAAATAATATACTATTATAAATTAGATAATTATAATAATTACTTTAACGCTAAAAAATTAATTCTTCTTTTTCTTAAACTTTTTAAATTTAAATTTAATATTAATATTATTATCTTCTTAATTATCTCTTTTATTTTAATTACTATAATTATTATAATCTTTATTTTTAAAGACTTAAAATTCTTTATAAACGCGCTTACGCTTTAATTATTTAAGATACTTCTTAATAAAATAAAAATTCTTATTATAAATAATATAATACTTATAAATTTATATCTAGATATAAGAATTATTAGAATTAATATTATTTTAAATATAATATTTAATTAATATAGGCGTTATAGAAATAAAGATATAAATATCTATTTCGATATAGATAGTTATCGTATAAGTATTAAAGAACTTAGCGAAGATAATAGAATTAGAGATAATATTAAGTTATTATATTCTAGCGTAAACTAGCGTAAATTTAAAAGATTTATTTTTATTATAAAGATCGTGATTTTAATTATAAATCTTATAATACTAAGTATATTAATTATCTAAACTCTTATAAAAGTAATAAATCTTTTAATTCTTATTAATAATAAAGGGAAATTTCTTAGATAAACTATTAATCTCTTATAATAGATTTATAAATTAGTTAATATAGGCTTATAGCTTATTTTTATAAGCGATAAAAATAAGAGACTTTAGTCTCTAAATAATAGAATTAAGAATATCTAATTTACGAGACTTATATTCTTTTAAATTCTTTTAGATAATTATAGCGTTAATATAGCTTTTAATAAGATCGCGTAAATTATTCTTATAATAAGTCTTTATTATAATATAGAGTTTATAATACGCTCTAATCTATATTACGATATTTATATTAATAATAGTTTTAAGAGTATCTCTTATAGATTATTATTTAGTTATAATTTTATACGATAATCGCTAAATAAGAGATTAATTAAATAGTATTAATTTTAATATAATATTAGAGATTTAGCAATATAAAGAAATCTTATATATTTTACTTTTATTTATAATAATTAAAAATATTTTTAAATATAGAAATTTAATAAAGTTAATTTAAATTAATTAAAAGCTTAATATTAATATATTTAGATATAATACTATTTATAAAGAATTAATCTAATTTTTAGAATTTAATAGAAGAAAGCTTTAATAAAAGCTTAAATTTAAAAATAAGATTTACGATATAGTAGAGTTTAATAAAATAAATAGAATAGATAGCGCTAATAAAACTAGCTTTATTCTAAACTTAAAAAGCTTTTTATATAAAATTAATTTTAATAATAATTTAAAGATAAATTAACTTAATATAATAATAGAATTAATATAAGAAATTAAAGTATACTCGCTATCGATATTATTCGTATTTAGAATATTTATAATTATTTAAAGTATATAGAGAAAGTTTTATTAAGCTTTAAAATTAATTCAATAAAATTTAAAGCGTTATTTAAAAAGGGATTTTATATTACAATTTATAATATCAGTATATATAAAAGAATAAGATAGGGCTGAGCTTGAAAACCTTGAATTTGTATGTGCAGCCAATCATTAATTCGGGTTCGCTACGCTCTTTGGTTAGACCGGCTGAGTCAGCCCGGTAGCCCTCCCGCGCCTCCCTCATCAAAAATTTGTATGTAGAAGTTTTACACTTTGAAGTACTCAGCTTGCGATATATATAGTTACTTCATAATTCCTCAAATTGTAGAGCTCGCTTTACGCTTTCTAACGCTGTAAAAATTATGAAGTTTGGCCTACTATTGGTGGATTAAATGGACATTCAAATATTGTAGTTATGGTAGTCACACCAGACGCGTCCGGGATCGGATAATAATCCTTCCACCTATTTGTTATTCTTCCACCATTCTACCAATTCTACCAATTCTACCAATTCTACCAATTCCACCAATATGAACACAATCGTCTTCGGTACCCCTCGCCCAATTAGAGCCCCTTACTGACGCCCCCAGGCCACCCCTCGGCGAATCCGCTACTGCTGGCAATCGAGGCCGCAAGCGAGCCCAACAGCTACCTACTACTGCTCATAAACGCGTTGAAAGGCCCTCAAAAAGAGTCCGGTTCAGGCACGTACACCCCTTTTACCCGCCTCTTAGAGGCCCTACTGACGCCCCCAGGCCACCCCTCGGCGAATCCGCTACTACTGGCAATCGAGGCCGCAAGCGAGCCTAACAGCTACCTACTACTGCTCATAAACGCGTTGGAAGGCCCTTAAAAAGAGCCCAAACGGATACATCCTCCCCTACATACTCCTCTCAAGCCAGCGGTAGATAGGTTAAACTAACATTTAAATATTGTAGTTATATCAAACGCGTCCGGGATCGGATAATAATCCTTCCACCTATTTGTGTAACCATTCTTCTTCCACCATTCTATCAATTCTACCAATTCTACCAATTCCACCAATATGAACACATTTACCCTCGGTATCCTCGCACTCAGTTAAACAAGAGGAGGATCTACAACAGGCGAATGCGGAGAACACTACGGAGAACATTGCGGAGACAGTCATCAGCAGCAGTGACACAACAGGCCTACTCTCCACGGTCTCACACCAATCCACTCAGCCAGTGCAAGAGAAGTCACTACAGCAGGCAAATGCGGAGAACACTACGGAGAATACTGCGGAGAAACCAAGCGGCAACAAGGCCACCATCGTGAAGAACACGGCTCAGCTCTCCAAGATCCCACGTTATATGCTCTCCACGATTCCACATCAAATCATCACTCAGCAAGCGGAGAACACCACCACAACTTGACCTGTCATCCCCACTGCATTGATAACAGCAAGAGGAGGAACTATAACAGGCAAATGCGGAGAACACTGCGGAGAACACTACGGAGAACACTGCGGAGAAACCAAGCGGCAATAAGGCCACCATCGTCAAGAACACGGCTCAGCTCTCCAAGATCCCACGTCATATACTCTCCACGATTCCACATCAAATCATCACTCAGCAAGCGGAGAACACCACTACAACTTGACCTGTCATCCCCACTGCATTGATAACATCGCAAGAGGAGGAACTATAACAGGCAAATGCGGAGAATACTGCGGAGAA